GGGGGGGGGGGGGCTCTGACCCACTGCAAACACACCGTGAGCTGATGTGGCGTCACCTTGGAGCAGGCTTGCCGGGATTTTTTGATGCTGGCCCAGACCCACAGCAAGAAGTGGCAGAAATCGCTGCAGCACGAACGGGACCAGCGCATCCGGCTGGAGGAGACGCTGGAGCAGTTGGCCAAGCAACACAACCACCTGGAGAGAGCTTTCCGTGGCGCTACCGTCCTCCCCGCCAGCTCGCCTGGCACCGGTGGCTCCGCCAAAGGTACCCCTGGGGCCACCTGTGGCCCCCGCGTCGCGTGCTGGGGTGGAGCTGGGGGCCTGGTTGAGAGGTGATGGTGGGAGATGGAGCTGACTGGGCAGGGTGGGAATAGGGAAAGCCGGCAGCAGCTTTTAGTCCCATCCTAAGGCGAGCTCAGCGTCCTTCACATCACCGACCCCAAGCGATAGGTCTGTTGGGTCTATCCTGCGCCGCTGAGCAGCTGCAGCACCTAATTTCCCCCCCTGCCCCCTCCCCAGATCCTTGTTGTCCTGCCAAAGGGGACCTGAGCGACGAGGATGATGACAATGAGTTTTTTGACGCCCCAGAGATCATCACCATGCCAGAGAGCATGGGCCATAAGTGAGTGCTGGGGTGTGGGGCTGCCCTCCTGCCCCCCGCACCCCACTCAGGACTGATTCTGCCCTTCTCCTTCACCCCCCCGCCCTCCCAAGGCGCACAGGCAGCAACATCAGCGGCACTAGCAGCGACATCAGCCTGGATGAGCAGGTAGGACGATGTGTGCTGGAACTTTTGGAGGAGCAGAGTTGGGCTGGGGGTGCCCCGCTTCCCAGAGGATCGTTTGGTGGGGCTCACAGCAGCTTTTGTCTGGTCCCCAGTACAAGCACCAGGTAGAAGACACCAAGAAAGAGAAGAGAACCCGCATCCCTTACAAACCCAACTACAGCCTCAACCTCTGGAGCATCATGAAAAATTGCATTGGGAAGGAGTTGTCCAAGATCCCCATGCCGGTGAGTGGGGATACAGCCGGCGGGTGAACACAGGGCACCCCCAGAACCCCCTTTCTTACCTCTCACTCCCTTTTAGGTGAACTTCAACGAGCCTCTGTCCATGCTGCAGCGCTTGACTGAGGACCTGGAGTACCACGAGCTGCTCGACCGTGCAGCCAAGTGCGAGAGTTCGCTGGAACAGTTGTGCTACGTGGCTGCCTTCACCGTCTCGTCCTACTCCACCACCGTCTTCCGCACCAGCAAACCCTTCAACCCTCTCCTGGGGGAGACCTTTGAGCTGGATCGCTTGGAGGAGAACGGCTATCGCTCCCTCTGTGAGCAGGTACTGCCAGTCCTGCTTTTCAAGGCCCTCCCCGGGCCCACTGGGGGTGATGGGTGCTGATTTGTCCCCTCTCCTCCCGGCCAGGTAAGCCACCACCCGCCAGCTGCTGCCCACCATGCTGACTCCAAGCACGGCTGGACGCTTCGTCAGGAAATTAAAATCACCAGCAAATTTCGAGGAAAATACCTCTCCATCATGCCTCTGGGTGAGCTCCGTGGCTGTGGAGAGGGTGGATTCTGTGCTGGGGACAGGTTTGGGGACCCACCCAAGTGTCCTGTGGGCCAAGCAGACTTGAGGGGGCAGTTCCTGGCACAACTTTCCCTCCTCAGGTACCATCCACTGCGTCTTCCATTCCTCTGGCAACCACTACACGTGGAAGAAAGTCACCACCACCGTGCACAACATCATCGTGGGCAAGCTCTGGATAGACCAGGTGGGTCAAATGCCCAAGCACGGAGGCATGGATCCCCCTTCCAGCCCTGTGCTTCAGTTTCCTCCTGCCACCAGGATCTGACTGTCATCTCCTTCCCTCCGCAGTCGGGTGAAATTGAGATCGTCAACCACAAAACGGGTGACAAGTGCAACCTCAAGTTTGTTCCTTACAGCTACTTCTCGCGGGACGTGGCAAGGAAGGTGAGGACACCAGGGTGGCACAGGGATGCGCTGGGGTGCTTGTGAGTCCCTGGTGTCCCCATTCAGGCTCTTTCCTATCTCGCCAGGTCACTGGGGAGGTGACAGACCCCACGGGGAAGGTGCATTTTGTCCTGCTGGGCACTTGGGATGAAAAAATGGACTGTTACAAGGTGATGCTGGGCCCTGGGGACAACGGAGTAGAGGGACGGCAGCGAGCCCACGAGGCCGAGGACAGCCGGGTGCTGCTGTGGAAGAGAAACCCGCTCCCGTGAGTGGGGGACGAGGGGACAAAACGCCCCCTACAAGCTGCGGGAGGGAGCGAAGAGGATTGAAGATGGGTCTTTTCCCTTCCTGTAGGAAATACGCAGAGAACATGTACTACTTTTCGGAGCTGGCCTTGACTTTGAACGCCCCGGAGAGCGGCACAGCGCCCACCGACAGCCGCCGCCGTCCTGACCAGCGCCTGATGGAGAACGGCCGCTGGGACGAGGCCAACGCCGAGAAACAGCGACTGGAGGAGAAACAACGTCTCTCCCGCAAGAGACGCGAGGCCGAGGCCGCCAGAGCCACTGAGGACGGTAAGAACAAAGGGACTTTTTGTCCCCTGTCTGTGTGACCCCACAGCCCTCACTCCAACTCCCTGCTCCCCCCCCAGGAACCCCCTACGACCCTTACAAACCGCTGTGGTTCGAGCGCAAGAAGGACCCGGTCACTCAGGAGCTGGCACACATCTACAAGGGTGGCTACTGGGAGAGCAAGGAGAAGCAGGACTGGACCTTGTGCCCGGATATTTTCTAAGCCCATGTTGTTGTTGGGGGGGGG